AACATCATTGCATTCGGTTGTGATGAGGAATTCAGTAAGAGAATGAGAAGGGATTTTTTGAAAAAATAACATTTTTTATTTTCTTTACTTGCTCTTGTCGTGAGAAGGACAGTGAGAAAGTTTTTTTTGCCTTTCTTTTTTTTTTTATTTTTGTCTCCCAAGCCATCAATTAAAACGATTCTTTAACTTTATTTTTAGAAATATGTCTAATGACTCATTCAATACCAATTTAAATCTCAATTAATATGAATATTACTAAAGAAAATTTGAATTTGAATCTTAAAATTATAATTATTAATATATAGATATATAAAGACACGGCAATTAATATATATTTATATATAAATATAAAAATACAAATGAATATTAACTTCATATAATAAAATTAACTATTTAATCAATCGACTCGCACCAAATGAAGCCCGATTTAAAAGAGAATAAGCTCGTTTGATCCATCTCAATAGCCCGAGCACGCACACAAAAATTGTTTTACAAAAATAAGTTATTTTTAGAGTTTTGATGACAATCCAAATAATTTCAAAATTTGATCACACAACCGTCACATTTGATTCTTGTCGATCTCATCACATCCAATAAACTTGTCTAACGGTATAGATGTGTAGGTTAACAAATACCCTCCAATAAACATGATATATGTCTAGAGCAGATTATGTTTGTTACAAAAAGGTTAAGCCTTACTATGGACAAATTTTTATTGGTGTGGAACTTTAATCATCCAAGAATTTAACACACTTTATTCTCTTTGCTTTATGGTGCAGAATGTTGGCTTATAAAAGAGAAGCATAAAACTGAGATAAGTGTTACTGAGATGAGAATACTTAGGTGGATGAGTGGCTTTACACATATAGACAAAATGTGAAATAAATATATCTGTGAAGTTGTTGTTGCTCCAGTGGTAGACAATATTAAAGAGAGAATTATCTTTAGATGGTTTGGCCATATTAGAAGCCGATCATCTGATGATCCTACTAGGAGAGTAAATGTTTTAGATTTGATTTCTGATAAGAAATGTAGAGATAGAACTATAAAGACTTGAGCGTATTGTATAAAAAGTGATCTTAATTTATTAGAATTAAATGAAGATATGTCACTTAATAAGACATAATAGAGAAAAAAGATTCATGTAGCCAACCCCACTTAGTGGGAGAAAGGCTTTGTTGTTGTTGTATTATCTTTACATCTTTTTGATTCAAATGCCTAATATGTACATCGGTATTATGATAATATATTACTTTAACTAATTCTATAGAAGATGGTTAATTGGAGGGCAGGCATGCCACGTGATGAGCCCACTAAAGAGGTTATTTGATATAAGCTATAGATTTGGGCGATTGGAGGGCAGGCATGCCACGTGATGAGCCCACTATATAAGCTATAGATTTGGGCATATAGATTTGGGCGGTACAAGAATATACTGAAAGAGCACAATGCATATGGTGATTCTTAATTTTCAAAGAGCTGACAAAATGAGTGAAGTTTATTAAATTGAAGTGCTAGGCGTTCAACATGTTGGAGTGTATTATGGATAATGTAAATTATGAGTTTTATGATATTTTGAAGTCCACTGTGGATGTTGAAAAACAGGTTGAGCAGTCAGAACTATAGGTCACATCTATTATAGCAGAATTTACCAGAATTTTCTGGTATTTATACTGCGGCGTGTGTCTAGTTCTCCGCTTGGATACCTCATATAGGCTCTATATATCTTACAAGCACACCAGAATACACTAAAGAATGTAGGGGTTTATAAGACTGTGTATGCTTCTATGTTTAGCTTTGAGATTATCACTCATTCAAGGATCAGAGAGGTAATTAAATTTTGGGATTCTACCACAAATACATGTTAGTGGGTCCCGATAGGTTGACAATTACACTGTAGAAAGTATATGTGATATATGGGTTGTCAACGTTTGGTTGTCATTACGAAGAGTGCATCTCAGTTGATGAAATGTTATTCAGTCAACAATATTCTACTACGAGGGATAGATGAGGTGAGTTTAATTTGTTGATACTATTTCTAAAAATTTTATATTATTATCAGCAAGTTTAAACATTAGCAAGACTATTGATGCGCTTTCTGACCACTATCCTGTTGGAAATTTGGATTCAGTTATTTATATGACGACGACCTGGACCAACATATGGTGATGTTAAACGATTCATTTGAATTTGGTGCGTCAAGAGCAGACGACCTAACAGAGCCAATTGCAGAACTTTCTATAGATATCGGGTAGATGTCCCCGACTACTCGTGATAAGAATGAAAATTTATTTTTAATAAGATTTTTGGTCACATGGCAATAATTTTTTTTGTCATTCTACCAAAGGGTGTTCCATCAAATCCAACACATTATTAGCAACTAACTTGACATCTCATGGAAAATGGATTTTTTTTAATCTGGTGATCCTTAACAGGATATATAAAATTTTTAAGGCAGTTTCAAAGTCAATCTCTCTTGATATTCAAGATTTTCAAATCTCACATTATATTCATATTGGATTCATATTTATGTTCGAGGGAGATTTAGTTGTCTAGAGTATCATTCATTCTTTTTAAAAAGAGATTAGCCTATTATTATGCAACTGTCACGGGCAAGAACTAGCTTAGAGGTAACAAAAGAGTGTGTATTTTATCTTCGCTCCTCATTTGATCGTGGATCGATTTATATTGGTGCATCAGCCACCTATTGACAACATTCCCCCCAATCTAATCGAAGTTAATTTAGTTGATAACGTAAATTGGAGAGGCAAGTGTATTACTTTTTAGAAGGCGATCATCATGAGTCAATGAATATTTCAACAAGATGTGACTCAAATGATTATGCTTTCACTATGACCGGTCTATAATTTTGGTGGCTTATAATCCTAATATGGTTGTCAGACAATACAACTTTTCTCGTGCAATTACGTATAAAAATTTACCCCATATTCCTGATATTAGTTATATTGATCAGATAAGATTTGTTATTTTGAAGAAGTGCATGCATGTTGATTTCATAATGTAAAC